CGGAAATTTTACAAAAATGGTTTTTAGTACAAAAATTATCTCGGCCCTCAAAAACGAACTATTTTTTTCCTTAAAGGAACGCAATGAACTATTTACGAACGATTTTTATGTGAAGGTCCCATTTAAGTATTCGAATGTCGAGGAAAAAACTTCACACACCTCAAAGCGACAGCTATTCTCCGAAATTGCGACTCTGTATGATCCGTTGGGTTTTATTGCCCCAATGGTTGTAAAAGCAAAAATATTAATGCGAGAAGTGTGGGCATTATCAAATGACAAAAACAATAAAAACAAATATGATTGGGATGATCGACTACCCAATGATATCATAGAAAAGTGGATGATTTTCAAAGCACGTGCAAAAGAAATTAATTCAATAAAATTACCACGTTGGTTGAAAACAAAAGCAGATTCAATTGTACAAATTCATGGTTTTTGCGACGCCAGCGGGAAAGCGTATGACGCATGTGTGTATGTTAGAGCAGTGAATGATCATGGTGAAATTACAGTGACACTTTTGGTAGCAAAAACCAAAAATTCTCCGGATCACACAATCCCAAAATTAGAGCTGTGCAGTGCAAATTTGTTAGCGAATTTAGTGAAAATGAATAGACAAGAATAAGCAATAAACAAAAATTGAAAAATGTAACGTGGTGTCACATTCCTGGTAAAATGAATCCAGCAGATTGTGCGTCACGAGGAATTTTTGGTGACGAATTAAAAAAACATACGTTGTGGTGGTCAGGTCCAGAATTTTTAAAGCAATCAATTGACTACGAAAACTATGCAAACACCGAGCATAGTACAGACATCGAAATGAAATCAAATGTCAATACATTGATCGCAACACAGTGTGAAAACATTTTACCGCGCGTATCGTGTTTGAAAAAGCTTCAGCGAATAATTGTTTATGTGACTCGCTTTGTTAACTGCATAAAGAAGCAAAATGTAAACAAAGGTCCAATTACAGCGAGAGAAGTGGAACAAGCAATGTTGAAAATCGTAAAAATAGCACAAAGTGATTTTTATCAAGAAGAAATAAATGCGATGCAATCGAATAAAAATATAAAAAAAGCAAGTTCGATTATCAGTTTAAGTGTGTTTTTGGATAAAAACGTTTTACGTGTTGGCGGACGAATAAAAAAAGATGCGATTCCGTTCGAAACTCGACATCCTATTTTACTAGGGGGTAGACACAATAGAGAATGAATGAATACCAATGAATTGTCATAATACCTATCTATTTTCAAATACGGCAATTACCTACTTATTTGAAGATTATTTGATCGGCTGAGAATAAAAGTGACTTTAAGTTTTTTTAAACCGTCTCCATCTTATGTAAATCCTGTACAAATTATGAGACACTTTTAAGATTTTTTCTGCTTAAAGTCGCTTTTATTACCAGCCGTACATTTGTTCTAAAAATGTGAATACCGTGATTACCAAATGTCAAATTGATATCGGTAATAAAGATTTCAAATTTTTTCCATTTCGTTTTAACATTCACCATTTCGAAATTTATTTTAATTTTTTCTGTTTTCTTTATGTTATTTTTATTAAAATTGTTTTTGCATTTATTAAACCAATTGAAATAATACACTTAATAGCGTTGAAAAAGTTTTTTAATATTTGGAAGATAATATTCATATATGCACATTGTGAGACGTTGCTGAATGCATTGACATTTCGTCTAAAACTGAGAATACCAAGAATACCAAGAATACCTTCAATTTCGGTGAATATCTCAAGTAATATTCCATGTGTCTACCCCCTAGCTATTTTAATTCCGAAGCACAGTGAAATCGCGAAATTAATAATACGTCAAGTGCATGAAGAAAATTTTCATTCTGGCCCAACACTAACCGAGTCAATCATTCGTAAAAAATATTGGATCGTGAATGGATCATCAGTGATTCGAAAACAACTAAAAAATTGTGTAAAGTGCAAAAAACATCGACCAAAACCAATGCACCAATTAATGGGTAATTTACCAAATGCCAGAACATCAATTGTTAGTAAACCTTTTACTAACACAATGGTGGACTTCACTGGAGCAGTATATATAAAGTTGGGAAAGTTACGAAGCAGCAAAATAGTCAAAGCGTACATTTCGATTTTTGTATGCATGTCAGTGAAAGCGGTGCATATTGAGTTGGTCAACGATTTAAGTGCAGAAGCATTTTTGGGCGCCTTGAGACGGTTCGTTGCAAGAAGAGGAGAGGTGAAAAATATATACAGCGACAATGCAACGAATTTCACGGCCTCCAACAGGATTCTACAAGATTTAAGCGAGAAGGAAAGAGATGAATTTGAAGAGAAAATTGCAAATGAACTGAGTCATAATGGTATAATGTGGCATTTCTCGCCACCAGGTGCTCCTCATTTCAACGGACTGGTTGAAGCAGGAGTGAACACAGTCAAAACGCATATGGTGAAGGCATTGGGTAACAATAGTCTAACTTTTGAAGAGATGACAACATTGTTAGCACAAGTGGAGGCGGCTATTAATTCGCGTCCATTAATTGCCTTACCATCAGATCCAAGTGACGAAATTTGTGCGCTTACGCCAGCACATTTTGTCTTTAACGCGTCGCCATCCGCATTGCCAGACGAAGATTTGATGGAAATAAAAACACGTTATTTAACCAGATGGAAAGTTGTACAAAAGGCGGTACAATAATTTTGGAAAAATTGGAGTGAAGTGTATTTGCACCAACTGCAAGTCAAAAACAAGTGGAAATTAGACCAGAAAGAAATAAGTGAAGAGGATATTGTGGTAATAAAAGACGAAAACCTGCCCGTAGCTCAATGGTTATTGGGTAGAATTGTACAAAAATATCCTGGAACCGACGGAAAAACTCGACATATTTTGCTCGAGACCGCACAATTTAAAGGCACATTTTCTTCAAATGTAAGTATTTTGAAAAAATTGTTGATTGATCTATTCACACGTTCACAGATAATAGATCATGGTTCGGCAACAGCTGATTCGGCAACTTCTGATTATGTGCGAGCAAAATATGTCGCAATTCGGGCATTTGAATTTTTTCTTCATTGGCTGGTGAACATTTTCGACGTGTTCCCGCAAAGTTTGTAAACGAATGAACGATTTTTCGCACATTCCACTCTTCTAAATTTCAGGGAAAAAATGAAAGTAAAGCTCAAAAAACAACCAATAATGAATCAAAAAAATAAAAATGTAAAAATTAAGAAAAAAAGTCACAGTAAAATGATGATTAATAAAAAAAAGCAAAATTACTTTTCGCATGTTTAATGTCTATAGTTGAAACACAAACACCTAATTGCCGGTTTTACAAATGTCAAAAAATAGTTGTCACATATATACAATCTGTCTGAAGTTGGCTCTCACAATACACAACTTGTAGGTTGGTGGCGCTAGGAGTAAGTTTTTTTGAGTGCTTGCTTTTGATATTCCTACCCGCTTATACGCGAAACTCCATCAAACAATGTAAACAACGGTAAAAAGGAACTGCCAAAAGCTGATAAACGGCAAATATTATCTCATTTGCCAATTGTCACAACATTGCTATTTGTTATAATAGCCGCAACCATGCCAGCAGTATCAAACGCTTCAACTGCATTGGAAAATCAGTTGGAAGATAAACGAACGTCATGCACACATCGGTATAAATATGTAGACGATTGCATATTTGAACCGATGGAATTAAAAACCAAAATATTGAACGAAAAAATTGTCAAAAGAGAAGAAAAAATTACCGCCGAAACGGATCACCTTAAAAAGCATTTCTTCATATACATCGTGGTAAATTTATTGTTTAACCTTTTCTTACATTCATTTTGTTGTTGTCTCAGAAAACGCAGTGATTATTACACAAGAAGGCAGATGAATAACCAGCGAAGAAGATCAAACAACCAAGCAAACGTAATTATTGAGATGGAACCACCTCCACCACCAACCAGCACCAAGGTTTTTGATTAATGAAAGAAAGGCAACATCAACACAAAAAATGGAACTTACGACTCGATTCGCTGACGCGTTATCTAATATTGATACGCATTATCAAATACAAAAAACAACAACATCAACGCAAACCAGTGGATAAATTTAATCATGAAATAGTTACATAGTAGCGTCAAATGAATTTAATTGTTTACATTTATTTTATTTGTTTTATTTCTCCTTCCTAATTTTTCAAATTGTTAAACATCAGTACACATATTATTTCGTGTGGGGGAGAATGTTCACCAGTGAACAAAGTTCATTCATACATATCAAATTCAATACATTTATAAAACATGCATTATTAATTGCTTACTTGAACTTTCGGCCCTTTATGTTCAAAATTAATTCAACATTAAAACAGTATATTTAATATCTTCAAAACGAAAGCACCGTGTTTTATTTATCGAACGATTAATTAATTAATTATTATTCTTTAGTTTGGATATCTATTTAAGTGATATTCAATATTGTTGATATATTTTCACGATGCCAGCTATTTTTGCGGTACAAAATTGACCCGTTTGAATGATTTGTCAATATTGAACATACTCTACACACATGGGGAAACAGAGATGGCGTTGTCGTAGCATGTAGCAAAATATATGTTTAACGCAATATTCGGCTTTACAACGCATAAATAAAGTCAAACCCATAATTAAATTTTACGGATTTGAACGAAGAAATATTTTTCCATCGTCTAGAATGAATGATCTAAAAAACATTTGCCGGTAAAAAAAATCGCTATCGTATAAGAAAGAAAATATGCTATACTTTGTTGAGATCGAATGCAAATTTGATTTGATGCTATTGAACATCGAGAGAAATCGCTCGCAAGACTCATTTTTTGTCAATATATTTTTACTGAATTTTGCACTTTTCGCCATTGTGTGCCATGATGTGTACAAACGGAATTGAAAGACATTCTAGCAGAAATCACTCAATCGCTTCAAATTTGTCTCCGTGTATGGTGGCTTATAATATATAAATAAACTATTTTTCTTTCGATTTTAAAATTCAAATTCTAAAGTGGTTTCCATTTGACTATTTACAAAGATTTTTCAACGACGGCCATCAAGTGTGAGTTAGAATTTCAATTGATTTCGAAGACCGATTCTGTCAACAGTCGAATATTTTTTTACCAACCCGTAATTTTTTCGAAATTTGGAGAACGAATTGTTGTTGAGATGGATCAGTTATGTAGAAATTTAAGCTTGATCATCGTTCAAAGAAAATGCACAACTGGTGCAAAGAAGCAATGGAATGGGTGGACTCTTGTAAGAATGATGGAGAAACACTTTGAGAAAAAGCGGAAAATTTAATCACAAGCATCTGATCTATCCCTATGCAATAGGGGCACGTTTATGTAACTCACCCTCCCCCACGTTCAACAAAATCAGAAGGAAATTTAAGACTTTTTGTTTGCTCTTTGTTTTTCAATTATTTGGACCTCCCTCAACTTCACAAACATCCCCGAATATGATCAACATCACGACAACTATCGAACGCTAAAGACCGCATTAAGTCAATTCGTCCAATTTCGGAACATTGCCGACGCGCTAAGACTTTCTTACATATTCAATGTGAATGAGTGTGTTTGTGTGTGTTTCAATATTGGAAAAAGATACTAAGTCGAAAATCCATAAATGAATTCAATACAGTTTTGTGAATTAATGGAGGCATGCGAGAGCTATTGGCTCGTTCAATGTGCAAAGGAAACCGTTCAGCAATCAAACTGAGTCTAAAAATGTAAGAATTGGTACAAATGATTCGCAATGCGAAATAGATAAGGAATTTGAAATGCAGAAAACCAAAAGTAAAGAACGGAAATCTCATGCACAGAAATTTTTGCGAGAAGCAGCCACGATTCGGGCAAAGGAAAGAGTGACTATATAAGAGAGGGAACAGCAAAAAAAAGAAGCAACAAACGGTAACAGTTCATTGAGAAGTGTATAGAAACACACAAAATGAAAAGCAATGTACGATCGGCAGAAAACACATTACCTCCGACTCTCTAACACACACATACATATTTTATTGACTAATGTTTTATTCCTGGCTCATGAAAGCTAATTTTTAATGGTATTGCACTATCATAGTGCTGCCACTACATTTTTTATACATTCACGAATTATGTGTGCATTTTAGGTTTTTTCGTATTCTCTCGTTTTTTTCTCCATCAAAGAACGGAGCAACATCTTGCGGAATGTCAGTTGGACCATTTTCCTGTGAGTTCATAAAGCTGTACTGTTGAAGTTTGGTTTGCACTTCTTCCTTACTTGTTCTTTTTTTTTTGCTCTTGCATGAAAGTTGTACTTTCAGCAAGTATGCACACGAATTGGGATTCAATGGAATCGTTCGTTGCTACTTTTTTTCACTCAACTCTCACTGTCTCTCGTTGTGTTTATTTTTTGATTCTTCGAATTTATTTAACAGCATCAAATCCTTTTGTGTAAAATGAAGGAAATGAGCGAAGAAACAAAATGCGTTTGAACATTCATTCATTCCTCCCCGGGTTCGTTGCTAAGTACAATGTGTATCATTATATTAACTGAACTTTTTTCGATGGAGGATAATGTTTGTTGTTCTGTCGTACGAAGTGAAAGAAAGATACATTGTTTTTTGGACGCCTACTCGCAAAATCAATGTGTATTACTTTTGTTACTATTTAAAGGAGCTGCGTAAAATCACGGTCTAAACAGCAATTTTTTAGAACCGACAACTTGTACTAAATATCAATACATTTTAAATAGAAGGACAGTGCCATCTAGTGGTTTAGTACTTCGTCTCAGTGCAAGTTCTAACCAGTAAAGTACCCAAAGTGTCACAAAAAGTTATCAATTTCACTTATATAGATCGACATAAAGTGCCGAAAAAATAAGTTTGTGAAAATAAAGGGTGCGCTATTGGGCTAGTAAGGGCAGGGGGCACCCCCCATTGTCCGGGGGCAGGGGTCAGAATAATATAAAAATGAACCCTTGCCCTCCGAATTATAGATGTCCCATTGATACTGATGTATCAACATATCTTAATACTTACTACTCACTAATGCTCTATTAACTATTATGACCAATCATAATACGCGTATCAACATGACTATTATGTATTAGGATCGATCATAATACGGCGTATTACAATGAGTATCAAGTATTATGATAAACAGTTGATACGAGTGTAAGCAATGAGACGCCCCCTAGAATATATTTTGGAACGCGCTCTTCAAACGTCGAATCTTTGACATTAACATAGTTACAGCAAAACACGCGGAATGAAATACTCTTGTACATCGTACACCAAAATATTAATTGTGTTTTATTCCCTTTTTTTTTTCTTGAAAAGTCTAAATAAAATTGATATCTAGTTCATCAAAAGCGGAAGTTTTATTTGTAATTTTTCGGACGGCTGTGTAGATTGAAGTTAAAAAAGGTGATATAAATAATTTCATCATACAAAGTGTTAGAACAACATTCACTATTCCTGACAAACGTAAATAGTTTTTCATTTTCATTTTTCTAGAACACATTGTAAAAATGGAAGAACAAACAAATTCAACAGAATCAGATGCATCAGATGCAACAAAATCAAATTTAGTTGAAAAGGGAGCTAGAGAGGAAGAGAAAGAAAATGAGAAAACTGTGGACTTTAAATTTAAAACACCAAAACACCGCAATTCAAGTGATGGAGGAGTTGAAAATATGCCTTTTAAGCGCATGAAATTTACTGATTTTCAAAACGTCAGTAATCGAATGTCAAAAATAATGGTGCCATTTACTTTTGGATATGATGGCAGTAAGAAAACCATACAACAATCTAAAATTGGAAGGCGTCGAATGAGCCAATGGAGTGTACAGAGTATACATGATGAAGATTCGGTTGTGGTCGATATGGTCCATCCCGAACCAGCTGTCGAAAATAAATCTCAAAAACTGGAAAATGAGAAAATTTCAACGTCTGAATCACTTAATGGCGTACATACTGAGCCAATTGAAGAAGTTAATTTGATTGAAGCTTCAACTGTTGTCAAATCACCTGATAAATCACAACCAAAAGCTGCGAGTATATTGTACAGAAGAAAGAGCGCACGTTTCTCTGCATCTGGCGATAATCTGGGCTCGCTTTTTATTGAATTGGATCGAAATAAAGATGTTGACATTGAGAGTACAATCGAAGAAAAATCAAACCATTTTGAATCGCCAGCTGAAGGTATTGAGAGTAGTAACAATCACTCGTTGCCACAAATTGATCATGATAAAACTGTATCACAAATCGAAGCTGAAGAAAATGGAGAAATATCGCAAAATAATCGACAGGAGAACGTGTCGGAACTTCTAACCAAACATCGAGATGATAATGTCAAATTATGGCAAACAAGAAATAAGTCGATCAGTGATCCATTATTTCACTGTTTTGATTTGGTCGAAAAATTAAACACAAATACAATCAAAGTGGCGTGTCTTCTGTGTGATCCAATGAAAGACCCATTAACCATCAAAGTTGGCAGCAATTCCAACTTAAAGGCACATTTGAAGAGAGTAAGTTTCTTTGATTTGGTGCTTTGATCAATTCTTTATTAAAAATAAATGAAAATGTTTTTTTTTAGATGCACACAAATCTCTACGAAGAATTGAAAAATGTTTACGATGATCAAAAAATGATAGAAACAGATGGTGAACGCAAGGCAAAAAGGGATGAAATACAGGATCTTATTCTGAAATTCGTTATAAAAGAGCGTCTACCGTTGCAAAAAGTCGAAAGTAAACATTTGAACCGTTTAATTGAATGTAAGCGCAAATTCGAAGCCTAAACTTAACTATTGAAAGTGGTTAAAATATTGAATTATTGATTTATTTTCCAGTCTGTTTGAATGGCAGAAGAGATGTGAACAAAAATAAAAATGATGAATCATCCAAGCCAACGTGTTTCCTTACGCGAAAGGTTGCCAGACAAAAAATCAGGGTATGTGCTAATATCTAATAAGCTGAAGAAAATAAAACTGAACAAAATGTGATAATTTTTCCCCTTTAATTTTACTATTTTCAGAATTTTTCTATTGAAAATCGAACACGTATAAAGGAACGATTGAAAGCAATAAAATTTATTAGTGCGACTTCGGATATTTGGTCTAGCAATAATCGATCCTATATTGCTGTCAGCACGCATTATATAAATACTGAAAAGGGAACAATTGAAACCGAATTCCTTGCTTCTCGAAGATTCCGTGGTAGCCATAACAATGAGGCAGTAGCCGAAATATTGAAATTAATTTTCAATGAATATGAAATCGCTGAAAAAGTTTTTTTCATAACTACCGATGGCGCAGGAGAATATAAATGTGCAATGGCTCGTTTTGGTGATAATTATAAATCTCTTATTCCACTATTGCATTTATCCGAAGGTGAAGATATTGACTATCATGCCGAACCCGATATCGATAGTGACAGCGATTCTGAAGAAGAGATTTCCGATTGTACATTGGCTGTTCCAGACTTTCAATGTGACGCCGCTGAGGCCAGCACTAGTGAAACGGGTTCACTTTTTATTGTCAAAGATATATTGAGTGGGGCGTTAGATGTTCAACTTCCTACACGCATAGATTGCAGTTCACATTTATTTGATAAAATTGGTAGCAAAGATTCATTTGATGCCGTCCTGGATGATACGTATTGTGATAAATATTCAAAAGTGATGGATAAACTGAATCTGATTTGGAATGTGACACAGTCGAGATTGAAAACTGAACTTTTCGAGAAATATACAGAATCCAAATTGGTTAAGCCTCATCGAATAAGATGGAACAAACTATATGATGCGGTTAGTACAGTCGTTGATATTATATTCAATTTATTCTGTTTAAATTAAGAAAAATCGAAAATGAAGTTTTCAAATTTTGTTTATGTTTCATTTGCAAGCAGATTGAACGCATATTAAGTATAAATGAAGTAAAGCTGAAAGCAGCGTGTACTGTAGTGACCATTCCAGTTTTGGATAAGGACGATTACACATTTCTCAATGAATATATGAAGGTGATTCAACCAATTGCTGAAGCTCTAAAAGCATTGGAAGGCAATCGAGATACCTTTGGTTCCTATCTGCCAACATTATTTGGTTTGAAATTTAAACTTGATGAGCTTAAAAAGACACGTTTAAAGTTCTGTAAACCATTACTTCAAAATGTCTGCGATGGTTTTTCTACTCGATTTTGCAATATGATGGATTTAAATAGTCCGAAATCAATACCGCTTTATATGGCTATGGTGACAAATCCAAGTTTTAAACTCAATTACTTGTCACATAATACTCCGATGTCCGTTTTGAAAAAAATACAAAATATGCTTTTAAAAGCAGCTGAAGAATTGGCAAATGATGAAAAAAATGATTCGCCTGAAGGAAACTGTACCGAACCAGCTACCATTGTCACTAATAAATTAGGTAAAATAATTATGAAAGTTCTTTTTACGGTATTAGTCATTACATTGATATTGATCTTATTTAAAAACATTTTTTTTACGTTCGTCATATATTCCGTTTCTTTAGCAACCTCTTTTCTAATTAAAAATGATGTCAGCAGCAAGTTTAAATCATCGATGAACATGAATTTCAATGTCGTTCGTGAGATAAACACATATTTGGGTTCACCATGCAATCATGAGTATGAATACTTGAATCAATATCCAAATATCAAACAGCTCTTTCTTAAATTCAATTGCATTCGATCATCCGAAGCCATTTGTGAAAGAATGTTCAGCTACGCAGGTCGACCATATTATCATATAAAATCATTGTTTGTGTGGGGATTTTCCTTTTTGTTGTGTCAATTTCGGTGGATTGTGGTTTTTTGAAATTGTTTTTTTTATATATATATATTTAGCAAATAATTTCAATTATTCTCTGTATATGATTTTAATTTTCATTTAACATAAATAATTCATAAGCAGCAACTAATAATTTGGGTTATTCTATTTAGGAATGATATTCACGGATAAGCGCCGAAAAATGACAGACGATTTGTTCGAGAGTCTATTACTTCTTCACATGAACAATTGGGAGTAAAAATGTACAAAGAAAGTTGAATCGTATACGAGAAAAGTTGTTTTGAAAACTGGACTTTTCCCAAATTTTTTGGTGTATTTTGAGAGAATTTTCTGCAACCGAAAAAAAATATTTAAATATTTAAAAAAATACTGAACATATTTTTCATTTAACTAAATATTTCATTAAAAGACCAAAGATATGATAAAAGCCTTCATACGGTATTCTGTAAAATATCTTCCGAATAAAATGCAGTTTATTAAAAAAATAATTCAATACGATTTAAAATAAAAAAAATCCGCTTATGTTTTGGTTTAATTTATTGAATATGCTCTTCATTTGAATTCATTAAGCTGTCCATTTTAATTTAATCACTTTTTACTCTTATTTCTCTTACTATTTTTAACCACATGAAACTGGTCTTTGGTGCAAGACAGTTTGGGACTATAATCTCTTCTTTGTCGGAATTCATTTCGATTGAGGTTCCTACATAACTTGAGTCGATCTCTTCGATATGGTCACATGAAGTCAGCATTGACTCCATCGGTGGACGACAATCAAAACGCCCGATTGATTTCCGGTCATATTTTGAAATTAGAACATTTAACATCGTCGCTTTAATGCTTTCAGTTGTGGTCGTTGGCATTTCTTCGGATGTGCCCATTGCTTCTACCATTTTACCCTCATCATGGTAGCAATCAACACCATCGATATTGGTTTGATTCGATGGATTGTGAAGCAGTCGTAAACGTTCCCATTGCGTTAAAAATGTCGCCAAATAATGGCTAGAGAAGTGATTTTTTGAAATGCCCAATCAACTCAGTTTTGAAAAATCGTTCGAGTCACGCTATTATCTCCTTCAAATTATTTCTCTCCAAATTAGGCTCAGATAATTCATAATTCTTTGAAATTCCGCAAAAATTACCGTAAAATCCACTTTTCCCAGTCGACCCTAGTTTTACTTTTCCGTACACACCTAGTGTGTAAGGTAAAGTATTGGAATCGGTCGAAAATTTTAGACCCCCCAAAGACATGTTTTCTGGGTGTTTTCGGGGCCAGGGAACATGAATCAGCCTTTTTTTCGATGTCCGAATGTATGTGCGTACCCTGTAGCCTGTACGCAAAAATTTGTAAATAAAATAAAAATTACCCTAAAAATTCTATTAAATTTTTGGTATTTTGATACAATTTCTGGTAGTTTTCTAAAGCAAATCCAAATCTGATTTTACAGGGTTCCTGGGGGTTGCGAGGAATGGGCTGGTATTGTTTTTGAGCGATATTCATGCATCGGTGTATCCATGGTGTATCCAGGGGTACCCTAAGGGGTATAGCATGCAAAAATTTGTTAATTTGATAACTCTTTTTACCAGAGACGTAAATCAAAGTTTGAAATG